TGTTCATCAAGAAACTTAATTTTGCAAATTAGGGTTTAAGATTGAAAAATTTCTTAACTTAGAATTTTTCTAAGTTATGAAATTTTCTTTTTTTTCCCAACTTTGCCCAACATTTTCACCATGATAAAATTGGATTCAAACAAAAATTCCAACATGAAAGTTGTAGTCCTCCATAAAATCTACAACTTTTATTCACAAAGTTTTCCCAAAAGATGCTTGGATCTCAAGTTATGATTTTTGGAATAAGGGTCCAAAAACTTTCTAACTTAGTGAAATTTTGCCCTAGTTTAGGCAAGATTTTGACCTATCTTCATGGCCATTTTTCACCTAGTTCCCATTGGAATTTCAAAATACATTTCAAAGATGGATTGCATAGCATGTTACAAGCTTTCCAAAATGTCTAAGAACTCTCTAAAATCATTTGTGGTTAGGGAGAATCGAAGGTTTGAATTTTGGAAATTATCACTTTGATCCATGGCATTTTCATGTTGACACAAGTTGCAAAATCTGTCCAACTTTTCTTGTACTTGAATACAGGTCTCTAAACCCTTCCACACTCAAAAATTTAATGCAAACTCAATGGTTTAAGTCATTATTATGATCAATGGAAGTTTACACAAGGGTTTAATCCATTTTTGGCAAAAAGGCAACAATGTTATTTTCATAAAGCACAACTTTATGTCAACTTTGTTTCCCTTGAGCCTTGAACCCATCTCTTTGCAGAAAACAAGCTCCATAAACTTAGGCAAAGGTACAACGATTTTGTGCATGCTTGAAGCTAGCCTGTACAGGCCTGCCTTTTGTCATTTCACACTTTTCTTAAAAGCCAAGTCAACTTGCAAAAACACAGAGAACTCTTGTATCTGATAAAACCAACTCTTGTAACCATTCCAAACAACTTTTGCATATCACATTGAGCCAAAAACACGAGCTAGCCAGTCCTCAAATACCTTTGAATATCAAAACACCAAAAACTTGCAAAACAGGGCAGCTTCTGCAGTTGCACCTCCATCTCACAAACCACTCGTGCGTTTTGCCCCAAACCTCTTCCAACACACTCTATACAACCCAGCTAAGCTATCCAAACCATTGGCCAGTGACTGTAACTCCATTTACAAGCTTCACCATTTTTAAATTCTGCTTGTGCAGGTTGACTTCTACAGACTTATTCAAGCAAGCTCAAAGCAAACTAAGCATTGGGGAAGGTCAAAGGAAGTTCAAGCAAGCTCCCAAGCATCTCAGGTCTCATTGAAAACCTCCACATTCCCATATTCGAGTTCAACTGAAATAGGTATTTTCCAACTTTCTATCTCTCTATTTAGGAATCATTAGGCTTAGGTTTGTGAATAAAAAATGTAGTATTCATTGCCCTTAAGCTGTACATATGCATAGATTTTATTTAAGTTAACTGAGTTGGGAGAATTTGATTGATGAACTTCCTGAAAAAGTTAGGTTAGAAATTAGGGCCAGAGAAATTCTCTCTGGTCTTTGAGAGTTAGATTAAGTTCTTTATATGGTTGGAATCGTGTTGAAAAATGCTATAACTTTTGTGTTGTGAGTTTTTGCTTTAGAGCACGTATGCAGGATTTCCAGTTTGAACATACAGGCGCGCGTTTTTGTTTGTCACAAGGTTGAAGATGAAGCAAGTGGGCTGGGCCTATGTTGTTCCATGCTTTTTGCACCCCTGACTTACTTCTCACACCCCCTTGGCCCATTGTTTTATATTTTTATATTTTTCATTTCTTTTTTTTTAGTTTCTGATTTTATTTCATTTTTCTAAACACTAAAAAATTACAAAAATATTTTCATAAATTTTCACATTTTATTTTATTATTTTTATTATTTTTTTTAGACATAAAAATAATTATTAAATAATATATACATTTATTTTCTTTAACAAAAACTTGTAAATAACATTAAAAAAACATTATATTTTATTTTTAGTATTTATATATATTTAAATAATATTTTCTCACATTATTTTTATTTTTTAACATTTATATATATTCTATTTATTTTATTATACATAAATAAATAATACATAACATATATATATATATATATATATATATATATATATATATATATATATATATATATATATATATATATATATATATATATATATATATATATATATATATATATATATATATATATATATATATATATATATATATATATATATATATATATATATATATATATATATATATATATATATATATATATATATATATATATATATATATATATATATATATATATATATATATATATATATATATATATATATATATATATATATATATATATATATATATATATATATATATATATATATATATATATATATATATTCTTAAAACAAATTAGGATTTTCACCCTTAATAAAAATAATATTTTTCTTATTTTTGATACATTAAATACTTTATTTTTACATACATAAAATAATACAAAAAAACATTTTTTGCATATTTATAATATATTGCATATTTATTTAATTGTCCATTTAAATATTTGCTTATTTATTATTTGAACAAAGATTTCAATTTGGTTGTAATAATTTTAGGGTTTCAATTTCTTGCAAATATCTCCTATCCAAAATTGTATCCCCCTCCTCATATCAATGTTGTAATAGCTTAGATTACTTTTACGCATTTATTGCTTTCAAATATGTCATGATAGAGATTAGGGTTTGTATGCAATATCCAAAATCAAAACAAATAACTAGACCTAATACAAGACATAAAAGCATGTAAATTGACAACACAATGCACATAAGCACCCATAGGGTTTCACCCACTTGTTGCCTTAAAAATGGCTATGGTATGCATGTTGAGTATCTTGGCAAAACAAAAACGAAACAAAAGATCATAGTCCCTCGATGACGCTATCTTGGTTGCCTAACAAAAATGATCAAGTCCCTCAAATAAAAACTTGCTAAGATACTTAGCACAATTGCTATCATGGTCAATACAATGACCCGCACCTGTCCCGTTTAACATCTAAAAACAAGTTTGTTTACCAAATGCAATGGTAAAACAACAATGTCAAAGGGTTAAAAATGTGTAGGAAAGATCTTTGAGTTAGGGTAGACAACTCCTAGTTACTTGATCAAACTTGCAAACATCCTTGCTAATTTCAAAAAACACATCACAACACAATTTCAAAACATTTCCCAAAACAACTTTCAAACATTGAAACATCTTTTCAAAAGACAAACACCTTTGTAAAACATTCAAACAAGAATTGTTACAAAGGTTGCCTAGACAAGGCCTCTTTTCAAAACATTTTCAAAACCACACACAAAGCACCATTTCAAACAATTGAAAAGCAAGTGATCTAAACAAGTAACTAAGAGCCCATGGATAATCATGGATGAAAAGGGTGTTTGCACCTTCCCTTTTCATAATCTACCCCCTGAACCCAAGAAAACATCTCAATGGTCTTTCCTGTGCTTTTTGACCTTTCCTTTGGATAAAATAAAAACTCGACGGCGACTCTTGCTAAACCGAAACATTTGCGAACATAAACGCAAAACCTCAAGTCAGTTCTCCCACCGTATCACAACGGCGAAGACGGAGGCAGTGTGACGGCTAGAGAAACGCCTCCGTCTTCGTGCAGTCGGCGGCGGATCTGCGCGGAGACGGCGGAGGGAGGATACGGGCGGAGACGGCGTAGGCGAGACGGGCGGAGACGGCGTAGGCGAGACGGGCAGATACGGCGTAGGCGAGACGGGCAGATACGGCGTAGGCGAGACGGGCGGAGACAGGCGGAGACGGACGGAGTAGCAGCAAGGGTGCTCTCGTGGGACGGAGTAGTTGGACGGACGGACTGAGAAGTGGAACAGTGACGAAATAATTCACAGTCTGGGGTTATTTCAAAATTATATATATTAGTTTTTACATCGGTGCAAGCATTGGACCGATGTAAGGGTTCGTAGGCTTATGTTTTTTACATCGGTGCAAGCAGTGAGCCGATGTAGCAGTTTCAATTTGAGGTTTTTTACATCGGTTTAACGAAAGGACCGATGTAAGGTTTTTGATGTTTTTTACATCGATGGAATAAATGGCCCGATGTAAGGATTTGCCTATTTTTTATATTACCAATCTGCCACGGACTTTTTTACATCGGTGGATTGCAGGAACCGATGTAATATCTGGCGTATTTTTTATTTACAATTCTATCACCTGGTTTGTTATTTACAAAACTGCCACCGTGTTTTTTTCACGAAACCTTTTACAACGGTGGATTAAATGGCCTGATGTAATAGATCGCGAAAAATATTTTTTTTCATATTTTTTATATCATTGCAAATAAATATCTGATGTAAAATGTTTTCAATTTTATTTTTTACATCGTATATTTTTATACCTGATGTAAAAACCTTTTCTCAAATGTCATTTTTTTAGTAGTGAACAATGATAACTTTTTATAAATACCTAAGAAAGGATCATAGTCGAAATCATTGTCTTCATCACTTTCGAAATCCAAGTTAACTATAGGTTTAAAAATGTTGCATGTGTGCAACGTTGGAGATGTATGTGAACTTGATGGCATATGTACTATTAGTGATATAAAATCGACATAGTTGTAAAGATGAAAACACGATAAATCATAATGAACATCAATTTAAAAAGTAAAGGTGTTTGAAAAAATACAGAAACGTTGCGTAGGAGGAATAGGTGGAATGCAATGTTGGTTATCAACTAAATTTTATGGTGGACTTATATTAATATGATTGGTGCGCATAAGGTTGTAATCTCTTTCTCTTTTTAGGACGACCCCTTCCATGTTTGACATTTGTTGTGTTTGTAACATTTGAATTTGTTTCTGTATTCGTGCACATTAACATGCCATGAAATTGTTACATAAAAATGAAATCATAGTATGTAACATAGTAGTAACACTTACATGGTAGAAGTTGAAGAATTATGTCTATCAATGTGATGAATTGAAGTTTCTTCCAATTGTAGCAGTGTATAAGGGTTTAGATTTTATATCCCTGGTTTTGTCGCAATAGTGGAGAAACTTGAATGTAAGTTTGTTCCCATTTTATTAATGTCCAAGACTTTTGGTGGATTGTGAAGAGCGTTTTTAGATCGAGAAGGTTGGCTATGTTCCGTAGTTCCATTATTTATATGAGAAATACTTGCCACTGATATTTCTGAAAGTGGAATCCTAACAGCGGAAGGGGCTGCGATAAATGCAGGATTATCAGATTTGAATCATTTGAATTTCTTATGTTTTATTATGCTAAATCGTCAGAACCGCGCTCTCTTAGTTGCAAATTTTCTACACAAAAAAGCATCATTAATAATGGCATTGTGATCTATTGGCCTACAATTTAAGTGAGTAGAAAATGTTAAATTGATTAGAAGAATATATGATACAATGAAAAAGCTGGAGAAATCTTTGTGAAAGTCTGCAAGAGTGTCACTTATAAATAAAATATAAGGAGAGACATGTTAATATACCTGAATAAGGTGTGATGTTTCACATATTGATCCATTTGATGATGAAATAGGGTAATTATCTTCACTAACAATGTAAATACATAATGGGAGGTTAGTGATAAGGAGTCATGTAATGAAAAGCACAATAAATAAACAGAAGCAAACATGGACATAAGTATTAAAAATTCATATATGAGAAGTAAAACTATTAGATGTCCAAACAAAAATGATAAATAAAACTATCAAATGTCCAAACAAATATATTGAAACATATTTGACATATAAGTTGTTAATCTCCATTATAACAGTTAATGAAGAGTTAAGTTAGATTGAAAACTATGCTAAAGATGCAAGTGGAAAAGATATAAAACTCACAAACTGTATGATACAACAATAGTTGAGAAAGAATGAGAGGTTTAGAAAGAAATCAGGTTTAAAAGGTAGGGATGTAAAAGTTGATGTTTGGACTGCATATGTAAAATATCATGTACGGATTTATAATAAAAGTGGTTAAGTTATATGTAGCTTCTAGGAAAAAGAATTTTAATACTATTGTTCAACTTAAATGGCACAGTTAATTGGAACTATGTTTATTTAGTTAATTCGTTAAATGAAATAGTTCTACCTTTCAAAAATTCTGTAGAAAATATTTACATAACAACTTCATTTCAAAAAGTATAAATGCCACAGTAGGACTCAGGTTGATTCATAATGGTGAGTAATCTGAGGTGAATATAACAAAGACTATGGAACAAAAATTTGATCAGCAGACTTCATAGTATGGTTGGACATGAATAAATATAAGAATTGAAATCGTTAATTGCAAGATAGATGATAGCATTAACCATATTTAGCAAAAAGCATTTAAATGAATTACAACATTAAGTGATATTTTGTCTAATAAGAACTTAAAATAGACCTAAGGCATTGTTCAAAATATAAATTGACATAAAAGTTGGCTTAAACAAAGGCGTGTTTAATTAAAAGATTATCCACAAAAGATATTAAAAAACAATAGCTTGTGTCCAAAACGACAATGTGGAGATCCCAAAAAGTGCAGCAGTTGATATTCACTTGTTTTTGTTGTGCCTTCCAGACTTGGTCCTTGTCGTCTTTGTGGGAGAAATTTTTGGTGATAACAAATCAGGGCCCTTTGGATCTTGAACTGAATCAGATGGAGACAACCTATTCGAAGGGCTATTGTTAAAGTTGGTTTCGGGGCTCCAGTTATGTGAGTGTCTTAAAAATGAAAGTGAAAGGATAATTTATTAGACTTAAAATCTAATTCATAAAGACTTGCTTTTGAATTAGTTACTTGTTTATCCTTGTTCATAGCATTGTATTCTTCATTGTGGATAATGGCCTTTGCCTTAGTACATTCATCTTCATTGGGGATGGTTAGAGAAGCCTAAAAAGAAGTGGGTGTTAAGTTAGATTTGAGACATATAAAACACAATTGAAATGAATTGTTTGTTAAGTTACCTGAGATGTGTTCACGATATTGTTGTCTTCAAGGCAGAGTATTGCCTTTCCCTTAGCAGATTCATCGTTGTTAGGGATGGTTAGAAAACCCTAAATGAAAGTGTGCTTTACTTTAAGATTTGAGAGTTATAAAACGCAATTGACTTGGATTGTTTATTTGTATATCTGAGTTGGTGTAATGACTTCTTCTATCTGTTGGATCACCTCAGGATCTTGAGTTAGTCTTACTACAGAAGCTCGTTTGTAGTAAGGCTGGTATTTGACACGAAAAGAAAACTTCTTCAAAAGATGGTCAAGGTGTTCGGTATAAATACTTGGATGATCCTTGTTTGTCTATGTTTTATAATGTAATGAGAAGAAAAAATCAAGAGACATCACGTATAATATAAGGAAGTTGGGGATTTGATAAATTATGATCAATTATGATGTTTGTGGGATATTGGATCGAACTCTAGTATGATCGAAGTACATGTTGTAGTCGAAGAAAGGGTCTAGCATGTATTTGTCGAAGATGCTTGTTAAATTAGGTTTTAGTGTTTAAACCCTAATTTGTTAAGTTAGCTTGTTTCTTAAGTTAGCTTGTATAATGGGCCTTGTGGAAAAAGCCCATTAGTTAGTATGTTAGGTTTTATTATAAATAGCATACTAGTCTCTCATCATTGCATCACAGCAAATCCTAATTTAGGGTGAGAGGGTTATTTGTTATTCTTGTAAACTTGTAATCTTGTTTTCTAAGAGAAAGTAAAGAATAGCAGTTATAACCAATTTTTGTGTTCTTCTTCTTCCTTGTTCTTTATTCTTCCCTTATTCTATACTTTGTTATTGGCATTGAATTCACAACAAATTGGTGCGGTGAGCGTGGAGAAGATGCCTTCAACAAAATATGAGATTGAAAAGTTCACCGGAGTGAATGATTTCGGTCTATGGCGCTTGAAGATGAAAGCCCTACTGGTTCAGCAGGGTTGTTTGGAAGCGTTGAAGGGAGCGACGGCGATGGACGCTGCGTTAACAGAAAGAGAGAAGACGGCCATGATCGAGAAAGCACACAGCGCTATTTTGTTGAGCCTTGGTGATAAGGTTCTTCGACAGGTATCAAAGGAGACGACGGCATCAGGGTTATGGGTGAAACTTGAAAGTTTGTATATGACCAAATCTCTGGTAAATCGACTCTACCTGAAGCAAGCTTTGTATTCATTCAAGATGATTGAAGACAAAGTGTTGGCTGAGCAGTTGGATATGTTCAACAAACTGATTCTTGATCTTGAAAATATTGATGTAAAGATTGATGATGAAGATCAAGCGCTGTTATTATTGTGCGCTTTGCCCAGATCACATGCTCACTTCAAAGAAACCCTCTTGTATGGAAGAGAGTCCCTGACCTTTGAAGAAGTTCAATCAGCTTTGTACTCTAAGGACTTGAACGAACGTAAGCAGCATAAACCTTCGACGGTTGGTGAAGGTTTGGCTGTTAAAGGAAAATTCGACAAGAGGAAAGGTAAACATCAGTCGAAGTCTTATAGTGGTGACGCATCTGGTATTAGATGCTATCACTGTAAGAAAGTAGGTCACACAAGAAAGGTGTGCCCTGAACGCCTGAAAGATCATGGAGGTAAGGATAATGGCAATGCAGCTATTGTCCAAGATGATTTCGAATCATCTGATGTTCTTGTGGTTTCAAGCAACAACTCGTCGAAGGAGTGGATTATGGATTCTGGATGCACTTGGCACATGACTCCAAACAAAGACTTGTTCGAGGAATTATGTGATCAAGATGGTGGATCTGTATTGTTGGGAAACAACAAAGCTTGCAAGATTGCAGGCGTTGGATCTGTGAGATTCAAGCTCCATGATGAGTCAATAAGATTGTTGACTGAAGTCAGGTATGTACCTGATTTGAAGAGAAATTTGATTTCCCTTGGTGAATTCGACAAGAAAAGATATGTGTTTCAAGGAGAGAAAAGTATCTTGAGAGTCATAAAAGGGTCGAAGGAAGTCTTGAGAGGCGTGAAGAAACAAGGCTTGTATACCCTTGAGGCTGAAGTTGTAAGTGGTTCGACAAATGTTGCATCCACGAAACCTTTGTCGAAGACAGAAATTTGGCACATGAGATTGGGCCATGTCAGTGAAAGGGGTCTGGTTGAATTAGGGAAACAAAATCTGCTTGGTGGAGATAAAGTCGAAAAGCTGAAGTTTTGTGAACCCTGTGTACTTGGAAAGTCCTGTAGAATGAAGTTCAACAAAGGCAAACAAAGAACACATGGATCCCTTGATTACATCCATGCTGATCTTTGGGGGCCTGCAAGGTGTCCATCACATTCAGGAGCAAAGTATTTTCTATCCATAGTAGATGACTATTCCAGAAAGTTATGGGTATTCATCCAGAAGACTAAGGATGAAACTTTTGAGAATTTCAAAAGTTGGAAGACTCTTGTCGAAAATCAAACTGGCAGAAAGGTAAAAAGGTTGAGAACCGACAATGGCCTTGAGTTTTGCAATGAGGCGTTCGACAGTTTTTGTGTTGCCTCTGGTATTGCAAGGCACAGAACTACCGCAGGTACTCCACAACAAAATGGTTTGGCTGAAAGGTTTAATCGAACTATTTTGGAGAGAGTTAGATGCATGTTGACTAGTGCGGGATTAAAGAAGGTGTTTTGGGCTGAGGCTGTTTCGACAGCAGCATATCTGATAAACAGATGTCCTTCGACAGCGTTAGATATGAAGACACCTGAAGAAGTTTGGTCGGGACATCCACCAGATCTCGACAAACTAAGAGTATTTGGCTGTGTAGCCTATGCTCACATTAGGCAAGACAAGGTCGAACCTAGAGCTCTGAAATGCATGTTTATGGGATACCCTGAAGGAGTGAAAGCTTATAGGTTATGGTGCCTAGAGCCAGGTCACAGGAGGTGTATCACCAGTCGAGATGTAGTTTTCAATGAAACTGAAATGGCTTTCAAGAAGACTGATGATGTTGACGAAGAGCTGGAACAGGTAGAGATTCCTGTTGAGGTGGAGCATGTTGATGCTGAAATGCGTATCCCAGATGAAGTCGAAGAAGAAACAGAAGATTCTGATGATGTTGAGGAAACTGTTGATGACTACCTATTGTCGAGAGATAGGCAAAGAAGAGTCATAAAACCACCTCAGAGACTTGGATATGCAGAACTTGTAGCTTATGCCTTAATCTCTGCAAGTGAAGTTCTAGACGAAGAACCTAGAGATTATAAGGAAGTTATAAGGAGTCGAATGAAGACTGAATGGCTAAAGGCCATGCATGATGAGATGAAATCTCTTCATGATAATCACACTTGGGAACTAATCAAGAAACCTGTTGGGGCAAGGTTAGTCAGCTGTAAGTGGATTTTCAAAGTTAAGGAAGGAATTGAAGGAGTAATGTCGAAGAGGTACAAGGCAAGATTAGTCGCAAGGGGTTTCACTCAGAAAGAAGGTGTCGACTTCAATGATGTATTTTCCCCTGTTGTGAAGCACAGATCCATTCGAATGTTGCTTGCCATGGTGGCTCAGTTCGACCTTGAACTGGAACAAATGGATGTGAAGACTGCGTTCTTGTATGGTGACTTAGATGAAACAATCCTGATGAGGCAACCTGAAGGGTATGTCGAAAAGGGGAAAGAAGATTATGTGTGCAAACTGAAGAGATCTTTATATGGACTTAAACAATCTCCTCGACAGTGGAATAAGAGATTCGACAAGTTCATGGAACACATAGGTTTCATTAGAAGTCAGTTCGACCATTGTGTTTACTCCAGATTTCGACCTGAAAATTCTTTTGTTATTTTGTTGCTTTATGTTGATGATATTCTGATAGCAAGCAACAATGTCGAAGATGTAATGAGGGTGAAGGCTGAACTCAATAAGGAGTTCGACATGAAGGATCTGGGAGCTGCATCTAGGATTCTTGGAATTGACATTCGAAGAGATAGAAAGCAGTCGAAATTATGCTTATCTCAAGAGGCATACCTACGAAAGATTCTTGACAAGTTTGGTATGTCGAATTCAAAGCCTGTTGTGACTCCAACAAACCCTCAATTCAAGCTGAGCATTGATCAATGTCCCAGTACTGATGTCGAAAGAACCTATATGAACAGCATCCCATATTCTAATATAGTTGGTTCTTTGATGTATGCTATGGTCTGTACTAGACCCGACATAGCATATGCAGTAAGTCTTGTAAGCAGGTACATGGCGAATCCTGGAAAGGCTCACTGGCAAGCGTTAAAGTGGATTCTAAGGTACATAAATGGGTCTCTGAACAGAGTCTTAATTTATGGTGGAGCCTTGGGTGAAGATAGTAAAGCAGCTGTCGAAGGCTATGTTGACTCTGATTATGCAGGCTGTATGGATTCCAGAAAATCTATTTCTGGATATGTTTTCACTATGTTTGGTACAGCAATTAGTTGGAAAGCAACTCTTCAGAAGGTTGTTGCCTTATCAACTACTGAAGCAGAATATATTGCCCTAACTGAAGCTGTGAAAGAAGCATTGTGGCTTGAAGGTTTTGCAAAGGAACTGAAACTTCAAGGTCAAGGTATCACTGTTAAATGTGATAGTCAAAGTGCAATACACCTGTCGAAGAACTCAGCCTATCATGAGCGAACCAAGCACATAGATGTGAGGCTGCATTTCGTCAGAGGGGTAATCGAGCGTGGAGAAGTCCAAGTGCTGAAGGTCTCGACAGAACACAATGCCGCTGATATGATCACCAAAACATTGCCAAGTTGCAAGTTTTTCCACTGTATGCAGTTGATAAAGCTGTATGAAGAAAGCTAGTTAGTGTCTCTTGATGCTGTAGAGTTAGGTCCAAGGTGGAGATTTGTGGGATATTGGATCGAACTCTAGTATGATCGAAGTACATGCTGTAGTCGAAGAAAGGGTCTAGCATGTATTTGTCGAAGATGCTTGTTAAATTAGGTTTTAGTGTTTAAACCCTAATTTGTTAAGTTAGCTTGTTTCTTAAGTTAGCTTGTATAATGGGCCTTGTGGAAAAAGCCCATTAGTTAGTATGTTAGGTTTTATTATAAATAGCATACTAGTCTCTCATCATTGCATCACAGCAAATCCTAATTTAGGGTGAGAGGGTTATTTGTTATTCTTGTAAACTTGTAATCTTGTTTTCTAAGAGAAAGTAAAGAATAGCAGTTATAACCAATTTTTGTGTTCTTCTTCTTCCTTGTTCTTTATTCTTCCCTTATTCTATACTTTGTTATTGGCATTGAATTCACAACAATGTTATTTGAGTGAAGTATTTTATATGGAATGGTGATATAGGAGATATTTATGATGAAATTAAAAAATTATAATGGTATATTCATTGAGTACATGACCTGTGATGATAATATAATACATTGGGTTGACATTTTATTTAAAGTCAGAAGCAGTATTTAAAACTGTCATTGAATGATGTGAGTTACAAACCTTTTTCATGATCTGTCTTAGAGCATGAGACGACATCCCAACATAAGGAATACATTCCTTGTCCCAAAAAACAAAATTAACAGTATTGGGTTCATGTTCCACCTCAATCTCAATTTTATACCTACACGGGGGAAATATATTTTGGTTAACTACATATATGTTTCAAGTATACGAAACAAACCCAATAATAATAATAATGTTATGTATAATGATGCTTACTTAGTTATATGGGTTGAACTGTTATTAAAACAGTTGCGCTGGAATTGGGAGCCGGGAGTTTGATTTGTTTTGTTACAAGTTGGACAGAACTCATAATACCAGCCAAAAGTGTTAGCCCTGAACCTCATTGTTATTCCAACCGTATTGCAAAAGTTTCCTACACAACACATAGTGAGGCATTACAATAGATAAAGAAAAGGAAAAAAACAGAAGTAAGGTGAAGTTAAAAATTGGCAAGAAAAGAGACATACTTCAGTAAGAGTGACCACTCAACAATTCTTTTAACATCCATGGTGAATGAGAAATCCCTATCGTCGAATGATCCCTGGGAATATGAGTTGAGAGAAAAAGATTGTGTACCAGTTCGATCCTGGTTACCCTTAAAAATTTGAGTTAAAGGAAAATAGAAAAACAAATTGCAAAACACCAAGTCAGGAAACTGAGAACATAGTATAATAAGACAAATTATGTAGGTTACTATACTTTGTTTTGAATTCAACAACTTGTGGATGATCATGGTTCAGTATTAGTTTAGATCCATTCCAGGCATTAGAAATGTTGACCTTCCCATTGATTGAAATAAGTAGGCAACCATTAAAATGTGTTCACAACATGACATCTATAAGAATTTGAAAATACATTACATGAGCTTTGTCGACAGCATGCATGCGTAAGTATGAGGAAGACATGTCCACTTTTAGCAGCGTAGTTCATAAACTAGTTTGTATATGTTTCCCATAGAGTTAGATCAATCTCAGTCCCACTACAATGAAAAAGACAAGTTAGTGTTACTTTGATATAAAAAAAGTGAATGAAATAGTTGAAGTTAGAATGTTATGAATCAATATAGTAGTAGACCTTTCATATAAAAAAGTGAGGTTCACGCATGCCTTTTTTCCAGCACCTACTACTTGAGTCCTAACAACTTATTGGACAACACCTATTACATCTGCATGAAAATTTAGTGATAGTTACACAGGTGAAATTATGAAACTGTTTTGTAGTAACAAAATAATTGATGATGAAATACTGTAAAGGCGATCAACTATGAAATCTCCTTGTAAGAAATCAGTAAAGGACTTGAACTGGAAGCGGTGTAGAGGAATGTTAGGGATATCCATGGTCATGATAGTTGTGGCACATTTTAAAATAGCTTGTACTTGTTATCACACATGTTGAGAGGCATGTCATTCAATAATGCTTCACCATTATACACCATGTAGGTTTGATTATCCTGCAAGGTTTTGTTCCAGAGATCAAGGTCACGGGCTCGGGTAATAACATGGATTTGTTCATCTTGCAGTTGAAAAAAAACTCTACCATGAGTAAAGAACGCGCAAATGCAGAGTGTTCAAACATATGATATAAACAAAGAAAAATACCTTTGCATCTTGAATAATAGCTTCAAGATGCTGCTGGCCATTGTGTTCCATTATGTTCAAGACATCGACCATCCTAATAGCTATTTTCCAAACATTCTGCTCAGGTTTCAAGTCGAAAATCATAATCAGTGGTCTTGACATGATTGGTTGGAAAACTGAAAAATAAACCATATTTTAACATAACTGACATCAAAATGAAACAAATGGTAAAAAACAAAAAATCTTTTTTTCATGAAAACATTACTTTCACACATACTTAAAGTTCATAAAATCCAAAACTTGATAATAACCAAAACTGACTTTATAATAAGCAAAAACTCTAAAGTTGATGAAAACCAAAACTTTATAATAACCAGAACTTTGTAAAAAGCAAAACTTGATAAAAAGAGAAAACTTTCAACATTTCCTAAACATATTACTCTGTTATAATACTGGAAAACGAAGGAAAAATACAGCAACCAAAACATCCATTCATTTGTCCATTTGTTCAACAACATTGAAAAGAGTAGACAAGCTTACACACCACTTCAACATATCTTTCAGGAAGACTTAAAGTTCATAAAAACCAAAACTTGATAATAACGAAAACTTTGTTTATAATAAGTAAAACTTTAAAGTTGATAAAAATCATAACCATATAACAGCCAAAACTTTGTAAAAGTCAAAACTTATAAAAAAAAGGGAAAACTTTCAACATTCATTATAATAGTGGAAAACGAAGGAATAGTGCAGCAACTAAAACATCAATTCATTTGTTCATTTGTTCCACAATAATCAAAAGAGTAGACAAGCTTACATAATAGTTCGGTTTTTAACAAATGGTGATTATGAACAACACAAATAAAAAATAAACATAAAATATGAGTCATCACAAGACAATAGTAAGAACGGAAAAAGAAGATGTGTTACATGTGTAGAAGGCGGTTGGAATGGAAGAGGGAGAACACGAAAGGCGGTTGGAATGGAAGAGGAAGAAAATGAAACGACCGCTGGGAATGTGTGTGGATAGAGAACGAAGAAAACAAATGAATGAAGATGAGAGAATGGGAGGGAAATGTAAAGTTAGTCTGATGGTTGATTGTTTTTGTCTATTGGGTAATGCAAAGTCTCACCCAAAATCCAATGCAATGTTTCAAATAGATGTGCCACTTGGAAGAATGAAACATTTTGATTGGTCTTATAGAGTTGATTTAGAAAATTACCATTAAGGGTTTTTGTAGTGTAAAAGTAATTATGATAGAAGGGTAATTTAGAGAGTTACTAAGCATGTTATAATCTTAGTTAGGTAGTTGATAGATTAATCCAAGTTAGATTGTTCAAAGAATTTTAAGTTTAATAATTTAATTTATTATTTTGAAGTTTAATAACCATGATTGTCAAACTCGTGGGTAGACTTGTACGAGTCTACAAGTCTAGGAAGCAAAAACGAGTAGACTTGCACATAGAAATTTTTTTTTATAGATTCGAGTAGACTCTGGTAGACTCGCACAAACTCGTATAGAATCGTGAGTCTATGACGAGTTTACGAGTTTATAAATTTTTCTAAATTTTCATTTAAAAAAAAAACAAAAGGCCTAAATTCCAAAAAAAAAACATATTTAAAAAAAAAAAACTATTATTTTATTGCATGTATTAGGATTAGAAACATATTTCTCCTAGTCTCTTCTTGCAATAAAGTTTCTCCCTCTGTTCATGTACGGTGTGGTCGCATTTGTCTGTCTCTTGTTGAGTTTGTGTTTGTTGTCGTAAATCAATCCTTTGTTGTGTAGGTGTTCTCTTATATGTTTCTCTTGGATGCTTCTCTTGTATGTTCTTTTGTGTTATGTTCTCTTATATAAAGATGATGTACAATTTCATTACAATCAGATCCACTGATCGCCAGTTTCCATGTATCAATTTGCACATGACAAAATAGTTTAGAAGATTTATGATTCACGACATAACAAATTTTTGTCTGTCTTGCAATAATGCATTGCTCACATAGATTTCTTTTAAAAATTTTAATAATTAATTAATTATGAATAATACTTATAAATAACTTGCGTGTACAAGTGTTGTAAGGATGTTTGAATCTATTAACATATATGTTTTATGATTTTGTTGCTTGTTGTAGTATCCAATTAAGAAGGAATTAATACTTTAGTCTTTAAATATATATTTTGATAAATTATTTGTTATATTATTGAGTTATTTGTTAAGAAGTTTGTTATGGAGTATAAAATTTAAATTTTGATGTTAATAGACGTTATATATATATATATATATATATATATATATATATATATATATATATATATATATATATATATATATATATATATATATATATATATATATATATATATATATATATATATATATATATATATATATATATATATATATATATATATATATATATATATATATATATATATATATATATATATATATATATATATATATATATATATATATGAGGAATTTTCATGTTTATAAATATATGTGTGAGTCATATATGTGTCACTTATATGTTTTTGAAAGTTATTTTTAATTTGTCATAGACTCGTACGAGTCTATGAGTCGAGTCTACAGACCTTTTACGAGTCTGAGTAAACTCGTGAGTCTGACAACCTTGTTAATAACTTAATTAAAAATGATATTGAACTTGCTAATTTTTTTAATATATTATTATAAAATAAAATACAATGATATATATTTTTATAAATAAAAAATAATAGACCAAACTATAAATAAAAATATATTATATTTTATCATAAAAATTTAATAATAACTAAATAGATCGTGTTTTGGACTGGGCCCGACAGGCCCAAAAGCATTGCTAAGGCCCAGTCTAAATGGACTTACTGAGGACCACGCCGACACCAAAGAGTCACGGCCGTGCCCGACGGGTTTTCGCATGCTCGACAGCTACACCTCCAGCTCGACATATTGCGGTCCAGCTCCACGTCCTGATGTCCAGCTCGACATTACCTCGAGCATCCCAACTAGGGCAGACTCAGTCCACTGTTCCCCCAACGAGACCCCGAAAAGACCGCGTCTCCGTCCGCCCGCACTTCACGCAGAACATCCAGGAAGGGGACCACGTGCGGGTCCCCACTACGCACGTAGAACCTGGCAGTTCCTCCATTGGGCCAAACCTGCCCGACCCAATGAAGGAACCTTGGCCCAGCCCTGGGGGCTATAAATACCCTCTGTTTCCAGAGGGTCAGGTATTCATTATGCTAACCATACACTTGCTATTACCTGCTCGTACTTCTACTTATTTCAGCATCGGAGTGCCTTGCAGGTACGCCCTCCCCCCCACTTCGTTAAAAAATCTTTCTGCTCGGAGCCAGCCGTGACGGTCCATTTCTGATCAGGTCAGATCAGTGGCGCCGTCTGTGGGAAACTAGCTTCCCCGTCTAACGAACAACTCAAAAGACCAAAGCTCAATTCAACTACCTGTCATGGCTGATCCAGCTCGCGACAAGCAGAACGTCCGTGTCACCGACACCAATAACGACACGACGGACAAAAACGGGCATCTCGACAACGTCGTCAATCCCGTCAACACCGCTCCTGCAACCACCATTCTCGGAACTTCCTCGCACAGGGATGGAGCCACCTCATCATCCTCCCCGATCCCACCACCACTCGAGGACGACCCGGTAGCTCTCGCTCAATACAGAGCTGCCCGATTCCACGAAGTCCCAGTTCCCGCCGGGGCAGATGCCACGACTCAGGCACTGTTCGCGGCCATCAAT